TTTACCTAGTCCAGATAACTAATTATCTAGCTAAAATTTATTTCAATATTACAATTAAAAAAGAAAATGTCTGGCTGCGGTAACGTTTCAAACGTTACCCCAGCAGGAAATGTTTTTTTGAAATAACTAAAAAAGTTTAAGAGAAACAAATTTAAAAATGTGCCTAACAATTACAGAAGGGGAGCAACTAATTATCTATAACGTTTAAATGACCATTTTCGACATTATTTTGCTGGGGTAACGCACACCTGTTAGAACATCAACATTTCAGCATGAATTTTCTGTTAATGTGTGAGCAGCTATGATCGATGATCAATTGATTGGCCCCATCGTACTCCCAAGAAATTTAAATGTTTAATTTTAATTTTTCTGAAGCGTTATTAGAATTACCATTGTCATGTGGCTTCAGTTAGATGGAGCTCCTCCACACTTTGCCCGAGCGGTAAGGGCACACCTAGACCAATATCATCCACAGTGGATTGGCCGCGGCGGTCCTGTAGCCTGGCCACCGCGTTCACCATACTTAACGCCACTGGACTTTTATCTCTGGGGTTGGATGAAACAGAAAGTTTATTTTGAGCCAGTTAACACCAGAGAAGAGTTGCTGGAGCGTATTCGCGTTGCTGCTGCCGAAATGAAAGATAATCCGAACCAGTTGAGACGGTCAACACAGCAGGTAGCGATCCGGGCTACGGCGTGCCTTCAAAGTGGTGGGGGACATTTTGAACAATTATTGTAAATGTACATTTGTTATTTAATAATTAATACTTGTTTTTTGTTTATCTTTGCTAATCACTGTAAATATCTAAAGAAAAACCAAATCGTTATGAATTCACTACATGCACAAGCCTATGTTCCAACAACAATATTTTTTAAACCAATTGTCATAGAATCAAGTTTTTGGTATCATTATTTAGGTAACCTTATCATCTGTGAGACACGTGCATAATAAGAGATAGTTCACAGGGGTATTTTTTGTAATAGCCTTGAAATAATAAAAAACAATGTTAATTTTGACGTAAAGTTAATCTTTTAGTATTCATTTTAATATGATACAGCAATTATTATAATTATTTGAGTTATTTATCTGATTGCTATTACTTTTCCGTTATGGGAAGTTTTTGTTTTACGATAATCGGACATTAAACTCCAAAGTTACATAACTTTTAGTATGGACGCTACGAAAAAGTCAACCAAAATACAAAAATGGCTGCCATTCAGAGGCCGCTGGATTTAGACCCCACCTGTAGAATGATTTTAGTGATAAAATAGAGCAAACTATAACCCCCTAAAGTTTGTACAGTCCAAAACTTCC